CCTGGCAGCTTCCTGGGCAAGCCCCTGCCCTTTTCTTGGCCAGTTTTTAGAAGTGGGTTGCAATTGTCTCCCTCCTTGGGTTAAGAGAGAGTGACTGGCCCAAGGTTGCCCAGCTGGCTTCATACCTAAGGCCAGATTAGAACTCACAGTCTCCCTGTTTTTAGCCTGATGCCTTAACCTCCACACCAAACTAGCTCTCTAACAGTATATTAGAAAGTTATAACTTCTATGGCATGATTAAATCCCTGGTTTATTAATTTGTATTGTATTATATTTGTTGATCCTTTTTTCATGCTCTTCACCATACTTGTTTATGCATTTTCTTTAAAGTATTCAACTGAAAAAGAGAAGGAGAGATATGACTGCGATGTTCAGAACCCCATATTGTCCAATAATGGCTCTTTCTCTACAATCAGTTTTGGGATAATGCAGAAGCAGCCTTTTCCAGGGCAGAGATTCTGAACGGTTACTGCATGACCAGAATAACTTATATGTGAGCGTCAGAGAGAAAGAGAGCATGCCGGGGTAGGTCTCTGTTACCACGTTCGACTAAGATACCTTCTTTCATAATATCCCCCCAAACCGTCAGAAAATATTTTTCTTTCATAATATCCCCCCAAACCGTCAGAAAATATTTTTCTTTCATAATATCCCCCCAAACCGTCAGAAAATATTTTAAGCCCTTTATTTCCAAGAATGCATAACTTTAAAAAAAAAAAAAAAATCCTTCCTTTTTTTTTTTTTTTGCAGAAAGTGACACACCCCCGACCCTCCTGCTGATCACATTAATCGCTTTCAGAGTTAAACCCTTTCAGGAGAGAGATCATAGTTGCAAAAAAAAAAAAAAACCCAAAAAAGCCTTTGCTCACAAATTTGCAGGGAACAGCAGCATCGGGAAAGACTAAATATAGGAGTGCGGGATGAAACCCTAAGCATTTCTACTCCAGAGTAAGTCCCACGGGATTCTGTAACGTTCCTTTCCACAAGTAAGCATACTGAGATACCTTCCGCAGAAGTTTGCCTGTGGCTCCCATCATTTCCCAGCCAGCATTTCTGAGAACTGCCATCCAGCCCAGCTGAGGGCGTTGGATGAAAGAGACAGCTGTCCTGGGACTGCAAGAGAACCAAGCTGTGAATCTAGGCTCTTTGTGCTGTCAAGCGGAATTCCGTCTGGATTGTCCCCACCTTAAAACGGTCACACTGTCACGCTTCTATCTGCCATTTCCTTCACCACTTTGTTTTAATGAGAGCCATCTAGTTCCCAGGGGGTCGAGATGGGTGAGTAGTTACATTGGGTTCTCAACTCTGCATGTTAAAAAAAAAAAGGAGATACTTCTGCAAAACAGTTGTGGGTGTTCTGTTTACTTTTCAAAATCTCAGGCTTCCCACCTCTATATGCTGAACCAGAGTTTAGAGTCAGCAAAATATATTGTACATGGCCTTCTTTGACTTTTCAAAGGATGGGTTACTGCAAAATGAATCAGTGCAATATGATGAATGGAGATACGGGGGGGGGGGGGGGGCAGGGATCCCTAGTATAAAAAAGATGGTGGTCCTTACTTTCCTTTATCAACGATTGGAAACCACCAAACTGCTTCGGATGTGTAGATATAAATGTGGGCTGGACCAAGCTCTTCGTCTGAGCTTGCAAGTTCTTCAACATCTGATTGATTATATTTAATTGTGTGTCCTAGCTTTTTCAGTACAGGGCCAGTAGAAAGTGGATGGAGCAGAGGCAGGGAGAGACATTTCTAATAATTGGTGGGGTGGAAAGGTTGGTTTTGCCCAGAAGTTCATCTGCAGAAAAGGTAGATGGTGTGGGGTTGAAACATTCATAGGAACTGTCCAAAATATTTCTGATGCCATGAGTGAAAATGTGGAAGTGGATATTAAATTAAAATTAGTTGGATTTATTTATATAACAAAAAGAGAAGGAATTGAAAGGGGCCACCACACTATCTGAAAGCAGGGTGTCCTCCCCAAGAGGTGTAAAGAACAGCTGACATACTTGCAAAGAGTTTCCATCTACTAGGGCATCTGTGTCCAGATGTTGAATATAGGAACTGGTTGGTTTCTCCATAGGACTTTTAAGTTCTCTAATTTGTATTCTTTTTTCTGCTATGGCACCTGTGCTGGTTTCTGACCATTCTCTTAACCACAGAAACCTCAGTATTGGTGTTACAATGGTTTTGTCTCGATACTCAGCATGAAAATTGGATAAGAAATGACAGGAGCTACAGAAAAGACAAAACTGCTCCTAAGAATCCCTTCATTGTGCTAGAAGTCCTGTAATATGGAGGCAACATAAGCATTACACATACTAGCCCCATTGTCCCAACAACATGAGAATCTTTGCTCTTGGAAACCTAAGTTGCTTCTTCTTCCACTGGGCATCTTCTGCATACACTGGGGGATGATGCCTATCAGTCTCAGGGAAGCAGATGGGAATTGTAATCCAACACATGAGGGCACCACATTGAGGAGAAGACCCAGTTTGGTGTAGAGGTTAAAGGCACCAGCTAGAAAGCACCAAACCAACTGGGTTTAGTTTAGTTCATTAAAGTATACAGTGATAGACCAACCACTGGTAGGTCTCTTGAGCTCAGAAGTTCTCGGCTGCAGTGGGCTCTGCCAATCAGGTGTCCTCATTGACTTCAGCATCAACATGGTGACCTCCAGGGAGCTGGGACCAGCAGGTTGCCTAAACCAACTAGGTGACTTTGGCCCTCCAGCTCAACCCTAGGAAGAAAGCAATGGCAGACCACTTCCAAAAAATGTTGCCAAGAAAACTGTGGACTTGTCCAGGCAGTCACCAGGAGTCAATACTGACTTGAAGGGGTGCCCACACGCATTGAGGAAGGGGGATTTAGGTGGTGAGAGGCACAGACCATGTTGAGCATGATTTCCGAAACTTTCTCTTCCCCTTTTGCAGAAAAAAAGATAAAAGTTGCAGAGAACATCCCACCACTTTTAAATGTTGATCCTTTTTTAGGTGTTTCTTGATAAACAAGGATGGGATTTGGGAAGTGGCCACCAAGTCTGGAGCTTTCAACTTCACATTTTCACTTTTTAAAACAATTGCCAAATGACTCATGTACAAACCGCCACTGCCTTCCAGCCCCAATCACCTGTCTCCACCATTGGAAATACCCCCTATTAATATTATCTACTGAGAACAAAAATTATGCTTTGAATTAAATGGACGTTATCATGGTTCTCACAAGGCCAAATTCGCATTTCAGGGCAGGCTGCCTTAAATGCAAAGGTGCGTTTGCAAGAGATCCCATCCAATATGCAATTTTAAAAAACTAAAAATTCAAGGAGAAAAGGATCAATCCAGAAGGCAGTAGATTAAGACAACAGGACTGAAAGGAAATTGGTCTAGTCCAGCACAACGTCTTTCACTCATCTTGATATCCCGCCAGGAACAAACTTTTACCTTTTTCCAAATTAGGATCTTGATGTTCTAATCTAAACCAACAGCAAATCACACTGACCCTGACTTGTTTCACTTCCAAGAACCAAATAAGCAAAACTTGAAAAAAAAGTGTCCATAGAAAGCCAGTCCATCAAGGAGATAAGCTTGGACTTTTCTCTGATATGCAAGTTTTTTAACAGAGGGATCCCGAGTTGCACTAAGCCCTGCCTTTCTTAGCCATTGTTCACTGAATGAGTCACAATGCTTTGATACATATAACATGATAAACCATAAATGTGATGGGTTCCACAACATGTTAAGGAAACCATTCCCATTGTGGCTTAGTACAGCCTTCTCCAGTCCTAGGACTATTCCTGGTCCACCTTTCAGATGTGGAATGGCCCCAAGTTGGGAAAAGGTATCATGCATGAACCCAGCCCAGGTGTAGCTAATTTTCTTTCAGTGTGGAAACTTTATTATCTGTTGACTCATGTGTTCAGACAAGTTTTCCTCAAGCCAGGTTCTTCAGATTTCTCACACTACAATTTCCAACCAGCATGCCTTAAACTACCCAAGTCAATGTAAAAAACCTGATGTATATTACTCCTTATGCAACCTACCTCACGCAAGCTTGTTGTGATGATAATTCTGGGGAAGAAAAGAGGGGAGCTTGTATACTGTACCACCTTGATTTTTTAGAGGAACATCAAAAAGAGAGAGAAAGAGATGAAGTTAAAAAAAAATGTTACTTACAAGTTTGCAGTCTGATTTTGGAGTATTATGAAGTCCTTCATCTTCCTTTATCTTTCCTCGCATTGACCTTCTGAACTAAGTGTATAGTTTAATGATTGGCAAATTTTATCATTGTCATAAACTTGTAATTATAGCTGTTTACAACATCGTTTTGTTTTTTAAAAAATCAGTTCCTGTGTAACTGATTCCCGTAGCAACACCAGAAAAGAAAGCAAACAGGGAATGAGATATGGACTCTGTTTGCGAGTAATACAGCTATGAAAATATCCATTATTTAAAAAGTTTGATTAATGTGTGAAGTCTCTCTCCTGTCTCCTGTTCCTCTGCTCTTACAGAATGAACAAACACGTTCATTCCATCACTATGAATTGTAACTGATTCCCGTAGCAACACCAGAAAAGAAAGCAAACAGGGAATGAGATATGGACTCTGTTTGCGAGTAATACAGCTATGAAAATATCCATTATTTAAAAAGTTTGATTAATGTGTGAAGTCTCTCTCCTGTCTCCTGTTCCTCTGCTCTTACAGAATGAACAAACACGTTCATTCCATCACTATGAATAAGTAGAGCTATCACTTTCCAGTTTTCTGTACCTTGTTACTTCTATCTCATTGCTAGCCCTGTTGCTTAAAAGCAGAAAACCCACATTGTTTGCAAGAGGCCCAGACCTGATTTCAACATCTCCATTCTTAATTGACTTCAGTCATCCTTGCCAACCTTAATCCATGTGGCCATATTGACTGGAAATTTAAGGAGCTGTGGTCCAACCAATTTTATTTATTATAGTAATTTATATGATGCTACTCTTCAGATTTCTTGAAGGCACAAGGTTGGAGAAGATAGAACTTCATTATGAGGGTTATTATTTACTGATGGAAACAATTCCTAACTTGCAGAAAAACAATCCCAAGGCAGGGAATCATAAAAAACAATTTATAACTCCTCAGACTGTGGACAGCTCCTGCCCAAGAAAATCCATGGGGCTGAGCCAGGCTGAGATTCAGAAGTTTATTACAGGTATCCTCCCTAGGATCTTGCTATCATTACGACCATGTTTATGGAAGTATGATAGAGATGCAAAGATATTTAAGGAATGTCCATGCATGTCTATGGCTGGGCTCACAGCAACACATGAAGCCACAATGTGCTTGGTTTGGTTTCAACATAGTCTGCAATATCAGTCCATTGTAGCATGTAAAGTATGGTTTAAGGCTTAGGATTTTACAGCTTCCCAGCCAACTGTGGTTTATTCAACTAACTAGAGATTACTACAACACATGACTTAGTACAAAACATTAAACCTTTTCCCATAAGGTTGTCTTCATAATCTGTTCTTTTTTTCTTTTTCCAAATGACACCTTGGGAATGATGAGGACAATTAAATTGGGGGCCCTTGTATGTGGTACTCTTTAAAAGTGCTTAAAACGTGCCACTTTCCCAGGGAAAATCACAGACAGATCCCCCAAAAGTTCCAATACAGGCACCGGTCAAGAGATGTATCCCTCTTCATGTTTCTGCCTGAAGATCATTGTGCAATACAACGGACACCTCTGCAGTGGAAACACTTTTCTTCTTTTCAGGTAATAAAATGATGAGTGAACAATGAACAATGATCATCAGCCCCTTGAAATACAGAAGACAGACAAAGGCTAAGCTTCTTTTACTCAAGAATTCAGGCTTGAAAATTCAACAAGGTTTAGAAAGCAGTTCGGCAAAATCTGGCAAAAGTGATTATAGGAGGAACAAAACAAAAATTATAAGAAGCTAGAAATCTCCCAACATGTAGAGGAACAGGGGTTCCTTCAGAAGAGTTCAACCAAGTGGCAAGATGAAGATCTCAAAGCATGGGAAAATAGAAAGGCAAGTACAGGGCAGAGCCAATACAGACAGCTTGCCGTGGTGAAGGGAACAGCTCCAAGTAAGTCTTTTTACTTCTGCCTTTCCCACGTTGAATAAACCAGATCTGAGGCTTCATCACCAAAGAGCTTGTGAAGCCAAACTATTGAGCTTTATCAGTCATAAAATACTTTGAAGGCCAGGATGCAAAGGTGTCCAAATTTAGCACACAACAATGTTAGCAGCAAAACGATTCAGTTTCCTGTTCATTGTTTGAGCTTCAAAGTTTCCTCTGAAGAAAATACAACTTCACCTCAAGCGGAAAGGGTTAAGAACCCAAACTAAGCATGTGAATTGCGTAACCCCCTCTGGGTCTGCAAGCGGCATCTAAATCCCCAAAGAATAACTTGAGAAGGGCATTTCTCCTTCAACTTCTCCCATGGTTGCAGGCAGAGCAAGTCCAGACCTTGAAGATTGGGGTCTTCAATATCAGACATGTACAAGAAACAGTCCATGGTTCAAGGATACCGTGTTATCGAAATTTCTGCTCTTCTTCCATAAGCTAAGTATTTCTGGACCAGGGGGGTCAAACTCAGATTGTCAGAAGGACCATATGAGGTCTAGTTTGTTAACCCAAAGACATGTACTGCATATCTTGATACAAAGTCTCGAGGGAATCAAAATGAAGAGTGTCGTGGTGTGCTGTTTAAAGTGATGACATTTAGAAAAAAAATACTGCAGAACAGAACTAATTACAGAACAAACTCATTTCCTTTTGGCTACTTAGCTGGTGACATTTTTATTAACCGGAACACCAATATATGGTTTTGTTACCGGGGTGGCAAGTAATATTTTTTCTGAGATCATATCTAGTATGAATATTTGGAAAACCTGTTCCAGAGCTTCTCCAATCCTCCCCTTTTTCTCCCTTCTCTCTCTTTGCTGAGCAGAGAGATTTTTCTTCCCTTCAACCTTTCTCTTCCTTGCTTTCCCTCTCTTCTCTCTCTTTATCTGGCCAAATCTATCCCTATCTTCTCTATCCTTATCCTTCTTTGGCCTAGCAGAAAGAGCTAGCTTGCTCGCTTGCTGTCTTTCCCCATCCTCACCCAGAAGAGCGACCCAGACTGGATCTCCTCCTCAGCCATCTACTCCTTCCATCCAGCCTCCTGGCTGGGATCGCTGGCAGAGCTTCTCCTCCCTGCTGACCCTGCCCAGATGGTCTAATGCTTCCTTAAAAGGAGCACCTGCCAGATGGTGCTCGGGGAGCTGCTCAGTGTTCCAACTATGCCTCCACTGTGGCTGGGAGGCTTCCAGGTTGAGGTGAAATGAGCTACGAGGCCACTGCCTCCATGCCGTTATTCTTCCTGGAACTCTTTTGTGGTCCAGCCTGTACATCCACATGGTGCTCAGCACCCTGGCCTTGCTGGACAGTGTCCTCATCACCTGTGAGGCTTGCCAGAGGCTGCAGAAATGATTTGGAGGGCTGCAGACTTTGCATGGACCAGGAATTTGAGATTCCTGGTTTAGAGCATGGATACCATGGTCCTTTCCGGAGAATCCCTCTTGATATTTGAAGGACTTGGGAAAAGCACCATACTCTTTCAGAAGTTCTCTTTTTAAGACACAAATAAAATGAGTGTTTGCAACAGGGTATATACCAGCCAACTGTCCCAGGAAGATAGGTAAATAGAAGACAGACAGATATAGCCACACAGTTGTTTTTCTGCCCATTCTCCCCTGAAAACCAGATGGGACCCCTAGACAGGTGCACACAGCCTTAATTGAGCTACCTAGGAGGAATGTACCTCAATTGCCAGTCTTAAAGATATTGTTACTTCCATGAACGCTACCATTTCCCCAAGCCTATAAAAACATCCCATCTCTGCATGGACAGTGCCATTTTGCCTACCCAACTATCAGCCCTGAGCAATCCAAAAGTGCTCTAGGCCTCTGTGATTCCGTAGACATTAAGAAACCTTGATTTGTTCTTTCGTTGATGAAGACTCAAAGTTAGAGGTTGGTAGATTCCCCCAGCTGGGGACTCACAGCTGCTTCCTCCTAACCACATGTTTTAGCCATTACTTTTCACCACCTGCAAGGGCAGCTTCACCAGTCCTGTAAATTCCAAGGTGGGGGAGGAGAGAAGTTAAAAATACAAATGAGGCTTCCTTTGTGCAGAAAATAAGCTTTTGGTGATTTATAGATCAACTAGGTTGACTGTTTTTTCTCCGTTGTATAATTTATAAAGGCGTTTACGAACTTGGCTTAAAAAGCTCAATTAAAACAGTGAAGAAGTAGGTCAAGGACAGGACTGGATCATAAGCAAAACTCTCATTTTTAAGAGCCCAGCAGAACAAAGGTGTGAGCCTTGCCATCGCTGAAGAATGGTGGGCCAAACACCCTTTAGGGCAGTTGCAGCAGCCAAGGGCCTCCTTGAGAGATGCTGGGACTACAGCCCCCAGAATCCCCAACCAGCTAGCCCCTAGACTGAGGAAAGTTACCTTAGCCCTGCTCCTGAACAGACATTTCATCTGGGAGTAGTCAGCTACTCTGCCTCTCCTCCAGCTGTGGAGTGTATGAGCTACAGCTGACAGCTCAGATGGACTCTTTGCTCATGTTGAATCCACAGCAAAATTGAGGAAGGGGTGCTCTTGGTTAACTCCCAACGTTAAAAGGCTGTGCAGAAAAGCAATCATTCTCCCACTGCATTTTGCATTTGAGACATTTTTTGTGGTTCGTATTAGGGTTCTTTGGGGGACGTTTCCAGCTGAACAACTGCACCCAAACAGCAAAGATGGCTTTACAAGACATCTCCTAGGACAGGGTTTTTCAACCTTGGCAACTTTAAGATGGGTGGACCAACTCCCAGAATGGCTGGGGAAATCTGGGAGCTGAAGTCCACCCATCTTCAAGTTGCTAAGGTTGAGAAACATTGTCCTAGACATGAACCAGGCAGCTAAACTGACACAGGTTAACCTTTGTCATAGTGAAAGTAATAGCTCCAGAATAACTTGACTCTGGGTGTAGGAGACAGCATGTGATAGCTCAGATTAATAAAAGGGGGGGAGGGGAAAAACCTCATTTACTTTTCAGCCTGAATCATGCTGTGCCAGATTTTGGTGACCAAACATTTGTAAGTGAATTCATTTGCAAAGGAGAAACTATTTTGAACGGGTCTCATGAGAAACTACGCTACTGCTGACTGGGCCCTAGAGATTTTCCCCA